TACTACTATATGCAGATAATATCGGAGAAGGACATGAACGTTTGTCAGTACGAGGCGTCGAGCATCTCACGGCTTCCGTAAGAGTAAAGTCCAAAAAACGTTAAAGCTGAAAGTCGTGAGGCACTCCATGCCTACAGTGGGCTATGAATCAAAAACCTAGTTTAATTATATTATCTTCTGCAATTAAATGCATAGCCTAGCCATTCCAAAGTACATGCTCAGTAATTAGGACAATAATACATATGTCCTATTAAATATTAGAAAACGTGCATAGAAATATGTGGGAAACAACAAGAAAAACTTGCCGCAAGTAACTTGTCGACTTCAATACACAGCTGTAGAGTAGCTAGCAGATGAAGTACGAAGACCACGGTTGAGAAAATGTCGTCGATCTTTTCAACCAGTAAACAGAGATCTAGAAAAAAAAATAAATTCCTTAATTTTCATTTGGTAGAAATTTGTATTATATTACTATTATTATTATTTGTTTAAAATCAGCCCGTAATAAAAAAATTTTCACTTATAAACAATCTAAGTCAATAAACTCTCAAGTAAATATAAATATTTTTACTGTATAATTATATAGCTATAAATAATAACATCATAGTGATAATATGACAATAAGTTGTGAACGATAGGAATAAAGGATAACGAAATGAGATTACTAAACGCCAATATTCCAAGTCAATAATAGATTATAACAGAAAGATGCTATGACTGGCACAACATTCGTGATAACTGACTGTTTTAATAGTTAAGATACTTTACTAACCGGCGTGAATCAAACGTAATTTCATCATCTCTGTGGCCTGTTTCATGCTGTCCGCTTTTAGCATTTCGTCCATAAGGAAGTCATATTGATTGAATTTGTAGATCGATAACTGTGACAGACACAAGGTAAACATTTCTCGTGTTAATTGAATGACAACAATTTAGGCCCAGGTAATCGATCTAATTAATATGTTGTTATCCATGTGCTAGATGCCCAGTTACATATCTTATTTATTATCCTAAAAAAGAAAAGCTATAAACATGGCACGTGAAAGCCTGCAGCACCACGTCCCTTTTTTATAGCTCAAGTTGGGCTTTTTACTGAACAGGTCGTAGAGTTACAAAATACGTTTTGGCTAACGTAAATAAAAGTTTGTGGGTAATAATGTCTGATGAGATCGAAACAGTACGGAAATCACTAATAACATAAAAACGCGCTACGGAGAATGCATTTTTATCCGACTAGTACCATGGCCTTGTAGCTGTAAGCAAGTAGTGATAAAAAGCGCTTTGGTGAGTCAATATGCGACCGGCTGCTTTACATTAGCCAAGACTTGAAATGATGGAATCTCCAATGAAGTAGCATCGGATGTAATCAAAAAAGAGTGAAGACTACTGAATACCTAGGGAGCATACAAAAACATGCTTTTTCAATTGATTACTGTTTTGGCGGTCTAAGTCAACATGCGATCAGTCATCTAAGCGCGTTACCCAACAATTGGTATGAATACAACAATGTTAATGAAGCTGACAAACAACACGACGCTGGACACCGTCCCTGACACCAGAACTCTCTCTATAAAGAACACGAATATGGCGATGCCATGCACGACCGGCGCTGCCGATTCGGAGAAATCCTCAGGTTTGAGAAGGAGATCCCGAGCAATAAACAGATTGTATCTGCAATGTAAGAATTAATTACTGATAAAAAGCACATTTTAGTTTTTTCTTTTTACAGAGGAATACAAAAATCGGCTTAGTATCCGCTTGTATAGTTACTTGGCCCTTTCATAGGTCTGTTGGAGAAAATCTAGATACATCCAGCGAGACCCATCATTGTTACCCATTCTGGTGGAACAGGTCCTTGAAGGAATACCGAAGAGGTACCTATTTTCAAAAAGATAACCGTCAGAGCGTGAAAAATCTGGCATTATACCAGTTAACTGTAGAGAGCTCCTAGAAGCGCTCATCATCAGATGGGGTACTTTCTAGAGAAGACCATTAATTCCACAAGTAAAACGCTTAGAAATATATATAGACTTGCACAATAGGCTCTGAATTCCCAAATTCGTTTAGCAAAAAAGGATGTAATACCTGTACCTACCGGCCACAGATCTCTATTCTAATAACGGATGATTATTACAAGGCTTACATGGTCGATAATAATATACAACACATTAAGATTATCTTACGCCCTTACCTTTTTTCAAAGATGAACGTAGCGTAATCCGAAGGTATGCGAATACTTTCAAAAACCCACATCACAAGGATCGAATACTTTGTGATCTTAGCCAGTCTGTTTCCACTCACAGCTACCAACGGGTTAGTATTTGGTAATCATTAAAGTGATATAGTATAGTATATCTATGTAGTATTTAGATAACTTATTATAGTTGTTTAGTTTCAAAAGATAGAGTGAATATAGTTCTACATAAGCAAGTTTCCTTATCAACACAGGCCGTGTTGTATGCGTCGGTGGCAGGATACATATATTTAGCTCTCAACTATACACGATTAGAGTTTAAATTCCAGAAGAAAAAAATTCATAGCATTCTGCTCTACAGACGGCTGATAACGGTGGGTTACTGATTCAAGGTCAAACGCAGCTTTTAAATCTTCCATTGTCACAGGTTTTCTAGTATAGACTTTGTCTTCGAGGCTTCCCCCAAGACAAAATACATAGGCGTCACGTCATGAGCAAACAGGGCATTCTATGGAACCTCTTTGTCCGACCCAGCTGTTTGGGAGATTTTTATTAAAGTATGGGCTTACTTTATTATGGTAGTGTGCTAGTACTTCAGTTGGAAATAAAATGTGTTATTCTGAGCAAAGTCTTCCCGAATGTGTGAAAAAACAGACTCAAAATTAACAGAAGTAAGTGTTATTGGTCAAAATGACTGTATTGCAAAAAAAAAGATCCAATTAAATTACTGTGCATAGATTTTGTAGAACATTCTGGGTACCACTTATTATAGCCGGCCCACCCTCCCCATCTCGGCGTCTACGCGGTAGCAAACGGATTGCCAAATAAAGAATGGGTATCTGTTTAATATTTGCTTTGACACGATACAATTTGTTGATCATTGAGACTGAGCACGGTCTGTAGCCATTTATAGGCTTCGTGATCGTTAGGCTCATGCTGCTTCGTTTCATTGCTGGATATAGATTAGTAAAATTTTTTTATCTTTTGATATTCTTGATTAATTCTATAGCCGAATTTCTTGGCCAGAGGTCGAAATAGTTTGCCGTTGTGTGCTTCCCATACCGACCCTTTAATGGTTCTGATATCAGCCCAAGACGAAAACTCATGACAGAAGGCAACTTGGTCGGATAAAGCTTCAACCGAGTATCTACCTACATTTAAATTTTTGGAGATTTGTGAAAAAAACACCGCTTCGTCCATCGTAGGCGCCCACGCGTTCTTGTACTAAATGCCAGCTTTTACTTTTCCTTATTGTTTGTAGTGTAAATTTAATAAAATAACATTTTCGTCACGGTTCCCTCTATAACTATTGAGAACTTTTACTGAATCGAAGCTCCGTTACCTTTCATTTTCACAGTCAAACAAAAGATTTTCCAAAAAATAAGTTGTTTTTTTATGAAGGACAATACACTTCACGGGAGCGTATATCCAAAAGGCTAATTCCTTCAGAAACATAAATTTTCCTTTTCTGATTAAGCAATTAACAAAAAAATAGTCTCAAGATGTCTTATATGCAATTTTAGCTATAAATGTGCTCCAGTAGAAACACTTTTTCAGCAGACTCAAACTTAATTTTTTTCAACAAAATGCATAGTCACTTTAACAAAAGTAAAAAATTTTCGCGAATTATTACTCGGAACAATGTTGGTAGAACTTTCGCGGGCTTTCCCAGTTATTTGTGCAACCCAATATCGTGGCATTTTTAAGGTCTAAGGGGAGTTTATATTATGCTGCCTTTGTTAACCTCTCACATTGTGCAGGTTGTTTTTTCGACAAACGCGACTCAGTCTTGTTTATAGCGGTTTCTACTTACTCAGTCTTAAACATTTATTTATCGAAGGACAGCTCTTAAGCGACGTTTGGCAGACGACAGATTATGGTTAGATAAACAGTAATAACAATAATTTGTGTATTATTCTTATTATTACTGTTTAATAATTTTTATTATTAATAAGTATGAATAATTTGTGTAGGCAATTTTATTTTCTTCTAGGTAGCCATATTCTACACTCTCGATGTCTGCTTAACGTGGACACTTTATAGCGCGTAAATACGGATTATAAGACCTAAGAGCATACTTACTATCGTGTCTCAGGCCGTCCATTGTGTCTAGAAGTTCTGAAATTGCTTCCTGATGTTGGGAGAATTTCCAGTGGAATACCAAGCAGCCAATTATGTTTATAAGGTCCATCCCTCGTTTTATTGTCTGACCTTTGCCGATGTTACACGCTAGAACAAGGCTACAGCGAGCCAGCCAAATGACAAGCATGGCCTTTACGAGGAGACAGAAGACACCTCGACCGCTCATTCCGCTAGCATAACGCACAGGGAAAAAAGTGTCAGAAAAATAGCTGAAAACCATATAAGAATGCGAATTTCCGCAGAGAGATTCGAGGATCAAATCAAATGAAGCCTTCTCAAAATCTCACGGTAATTATCAAGTCGCTTCAGGACTTAGAAGAAAAATGTAGGACGGTGATCAATTAGCGACACTTTCGCCGACTTGTAATTGCATAATGACTTCTGTGACAGCCCGCGTAGGAGTTCTAATTGTATCTGTACCCCTGATATTTCAGATCAGTCAAACGAACTCTTTCGTTATCTATCAGTTATCTATGGGCTGCACTATCCAAGACTTTGTCACAAAAACTACGGGTTTATCCTACACGGGCAAACCGATATTATAACCGGTATAGGTTTGCAGTAAGATATACAATTATATGAATGGATAAAATTAACAGGCAGATCGCAGTGGTCGGATTTCTGCAACAAGTATGTACATTTTACCGTCGAAAGAAGCAATTCCGAGGTGTTTGAGACTGGCAAGCATATTTCTGAATATCCAACGAGACCGCATTTCGCCTTTGACAAATAAAATCGTCATTGTTACAGGTATTTATATCACTGTAGCACCGATAGCTATTGTTATTGTATGGATGTATCGCTAGAACAGCTTGAAACACAGAGAAAGCAGGGAGCTTTACGCTTATAATATAGCGACGACAATATGCTGTCCACAGGCAATGAGAGTTCAAGCACACTGCATCTATCGCCAGTTGTCAAAAGGGAAAAAAGTCACACTAGGATCCTATAGCAATATTTCGTTAGCGGATAAAACGGATCGATGCCGTTCGCCGATGCGTGCAAAATTTACGAACAGACTCGATAACGACCTTGTCCCCTTCTTTGTTAGTTTATGGTCAACAAACAGGTCATATCCGGGTAGGCGCTAACCTACCGGGTCCTAATTTGACTCAAAATCCCTGGAGAATACGAAAGCACACTGTTGAGCATCGTTGACAAAAAGAACTCGATAATACCATCTCCATAGGAGTGCTCTCTAAATTGATGGTTGAATAAAAGTTCCGAATCGATTAATGCTAAGGTTTTGTTTGCCTAGTGCTCATTTTGTACAACCGTAGATTCAACTATGTTATTACATAGAATATAGATGTAGTTTTTACTAGCAGTGAATAAAACTCTACAAAATAAACCATGCTTGCTCGCATCGGGAACATTTTCTGACTGTTCGCTTGAATACCATACTTCTTCAAGCTATAAAAAAAAAAGCTAGAAATCTTTCGTATCAAATAAAAAATGTAATAATATGTATAAAATATAATAATAATAATAATAATAATAATATAAGTAAAAAAAAAATGATTCCAACGGCCGTATTCGGTGTTCGGTCCATATCGGCATAAATCTTTGCGCATGAATTTTGTCGGTATATTTAAATAGCAGAACCGAGTCAGTCTAAATAAATGTCTCAGGCTAGATATTACTCCCTCTCGCCACACAGCGCCCCCAGCACGAAACACAGCACTTTCATGCCGGGTTTTGAGCCTACGCCAGCTCTCGGTAAACAACCACGTTACCGCCATGCTAGGACGGATGGACGAACGAACTGATACCGACTTTCTAAACGTTTGATTTAAGTGGTTACATGCAGCTGACAAAGCACACATGACGTACGTCGATCTTCGCGTGCATTAGCACGTGCTTGCTCCTCACAGCAATGGAAAGTCATCGGGAAAACTTCGTACCGCTTTTGCTAATCGCTGAACCCTTGACATTTAATTGCTCGTTCGTAACCTTTAAATCCTCACCGAGTATCGCCTTTAATCTTGAAAAAACAAATACAACTTTGGATTAATCAGGCCATACTAGCAAAACTGAATACCGCCTACCCGTTTTACAAAAGTGTATGTTGGACTACTTAATGCGCTGCACAGAGTTCAATCTCACCTAATACTCAGTCATCTGTCAAAGATTGCATACCTTTCTATGGATCCTAGTGTGAATGAATTCAAGCTAAATGCCTTTCTGTAGAGGTGGTTGCGTTCCGTAAAGGTGTACTGTACTTCGTTTTACCTCACGAAGCACGTGTATATCTTCTTCAATTCTTCACAGCAACCGTGAGTACGGCTCATTTAAGCGGTCAATGTGCCGTATATAATCACCCTTCTTTGAATTTTTTTTTCGAAGAAGGCCAGCAGTCTTAAACCGGAAGAAGTTTGCTATGCTTGCAGGAAATTAACTTCAAACGTGTTGCCACGGTCAGTAGTATTGGCATTTAGTTTAGTAGTGAAATGAAAGATTCTTTTTTTTTCGTATTGGTCTACTATTTATAGCTTATATAAAGTTCTTTTTTTCATACTAACCCATTTCCGTTTTATAATAATATTGCGATCGTACGCTTGTGATTTAAAATGTTATGTAGTAAATGCAAAACGGGGTCGTCGTGAGCAGTGTGATGCAATAGTTTCTAGGAAATTTTGTTTTTATCACGCGACGTTGAACTTTTGAGGCGCATTTGTTACCTAACCTTTCGAAGCCACTAGCTTAACTTAACAATCACCGACACAAATGATGTCGATACATTTAGGGGGGACACGTGCTTCAGGGGAGGCATAGGAGGTCAGCATTAAAATAGACTTGAGAGGTGAAACTCATAAGGTTGAGAGTACTCTATATATCCTTGCTGCTCTGTCAATTAATGCCAATTACCATCATAGCGCAGCGTTGCTGGGCAATGCTAACGTTCGTGTGCTATTTCACTCTAGCAAAAAAGCAGACCGTGTACGAGGTCATGGCCGGTATAAAAAGAAAAACACAGTCGCCTCAGGCTTCAGCCGCAAAGACGCAGAAATTAGATAAGAAGAAGATTAACCCGCAGGCCGTGCCAGACAAGAAGTAAGTCGTCATATCTCAACAATTCAGATATATATATATATATATATATATATATATATAGAAGAGTATACGCCCAGTTGATGATTCAGTTTTACGGATTTAGATAGTTGTATTACAAGACATATGTTAAAGCACATATTTCGAGTTTACATTTTTCTTTCATATTCACTCTACCAAAAAAAACGAGAAGCTACAATGCCAGCGAAATTTGTTTGCTGTGTATTTTCTAGAATGGATCCTTTCATCGAAGAGTTTTGTAAAAAATTCAAACAGCCTGAAGATTCCATCAGATGGCTTTTGTCAAATACCGAAATAAGTCTCGACGAGTTCGTTAAAACCAAATGGCAAAAGGCCCCCCTAGCCATACCCACTAAAGAAAAGGATGCAGTAAAGCTAAAGGCATTGTTCGGCTACGATGTCCTAATGCAGGTAAGCAGACTACTACAGAACCCGTCAACGCTCCATATCTATGACTTTTATCCACTTGTGGCTTAAGAGCGTTGAGCTTTGGACGCGCGTAGTAGTTTCATTTCAGTGTACGGAATTGGCGCACATATCATTGATGGCATACAATATGTGCTATGCACAATTTCCGTGACCTTCTCAAGTTTATTTGGTCAACTTGCGGCTTGTTCATTTTGTGAACCCAGCCATTTAAATAGAACAGATTACTTGTTATTGAGACGTTTTCTAACGACGTGTCTCTATTCCTTTCTTTCATATGTCTGCCATCTCTAATATAGGCAATCGCAACACGGGCGAACGTAAAAGCTCGGCTGCGTAAGCTTTTCTATCAACTGGATTTCTCTATCGCAAAGACCGTCGACGACACGTTTACGGAGTTCGAAGAGAACCCTGCAGATGATCAACCAGAATACATGACTGTTGAACAATTAAAGCCACTTATGGACGAAGGCTATACGATTCAGTTGTACCAAATAGCTCGTTTTCAACCTGGATTACACGCTCTGGTCGAACCCTTAGAAACGTTCCTGGGGCGTCTCGTGAATATCAATGGCTATGTTACACCCGCTGGCTGTCAGATGCGGCCCCTCCGTTATGACAATGAGGATTATTTCGTTATTCAGACAGAGGGATCTGAGATATGGAAGTTATACAAAGCTCAAGTGGAGCTTCCTATTATGTTCTCCGTTGACCCACTGAATCGGAATGAACTGGGTGAACCGACCATGATCGTAACCCTCAAACCCGGAGACGTTCTTTACGTGCCGGGAGGAACACCTTTCGAATCGAAGGCTGGCCCAGATGCCCGAAGTTCGTACGTGATCCTGTCCTCAAACTGTGGCAACTCCGTTGGAGCGTTCGTGAAATATTCAATAGATATCTTACTTGAACGGCTGGAGGTGGAAAGCGTAGAGCTTCGTCGAGGACTACCGGTAGGTTATCACAATTTGTCAAGTGCTGCCAAAAAGGAAGCTTACGCAAATGCCCTCCTAAAAATGGGCGAAGCTATCCGAGCGAAAGAAGAACTCACCGAAGAGGAAAAACAGCCTTCATTGGACTTCATGGTTGGCCAGTTTATGGCGCAGAGATTGCCGCCATTCGGGGTGAAGCGAATCCACGGTGACGTCGAATACACGGAAAAGACCAAAGTCCAACTTCGCAATAAAAACCATTTTGCATATTACAATCGAGTGAAGCAAGACTACGCCGACGCTGACGAAGGCGACAAGGACAATGACCTACATTCAGGTGAAGACGACGGCGAGCTTGCTAATGAATCAAACGACGAGGCGAACTCACACAACGTTGATGCAAAAAACAACGGTGAACAAGCAGATAATCAGACGCTCATAGAAATGCCTGCGCACGATCGAAACGATAGTGATGAAGTCCAACAAAAGGACGAACAAAAAAACCCTTCAAAGGATCAGAAACAAAATGAGAAAATCAGCCAAGGCCCCCATTCTACGCAAATTGTAGCGAAAAACAAACTTGGTCGAGCTAACAGAAAGGCCCAAGAAGCCGATTCGAGCTCAGAACAGCTAGCTGATAAGATGAAGACAGAGAATCACCGCGTATCTGTTTTCTCCGTTGAAAGTAGAAAGTCCGAAAACTCCGAAGAGACTCGAAGTGAAGTCGTTGTCATGTCCTCAATGTATAACGACATTCACGAACGTCAGGACTCGTTTGATGGCGAGTTTGAAGATAAAATGATAACCTTGGATATCAAATATAGGCCTATACTCGATCGACTTATGGCAGCCACAGAGCCACTAACAATAGCTGAGCTCAGCAAAGGATTTGAAAGCACTGTCGATACAAGAAATCTCATAAGTGTTTTTGAGAACTTGGGCGCTATTCAGATCTTATGAACAATCTAAGCAAACAGTTTAGTCTCAAGAAAGCCTCGAACGGCTCAAAAAGGGTTCTCAAGTAATGAAATGATTATATAAATATAGTTCCTTAAGGATTCGGTTTTTATATGAGTGGTAGCAAACTCCTGTTAATCTTAGAAGGTATGATACTGCAAAATCTCAGAGAGATCAAATTGTTATTATTTAGGTAGGCATATATATATATATATATATATTCACTTTTTAATCAAACAAGGCCTCTAAACCACGGAGCCCAAGACAATGTTCAGGCACCACGAAAGTATCTTGTACATAAAGTTGATTTTATTCGGTGAGATAAATAAGGAAAAGGCATTTGTACTTAGAGTTTCAGCCCTGTGCTAAAAACGCCCTTGACTAATTCGTCTCATCCATTTTGTTACATGTGTGATAACCTGAGACATTATAACCGATATCTGAGACGAAAACTATAAAATGGTAGTAGTCGATGATACTTAAGATCAATGCCCTTGCAACAAGCGGTAATCATGCACACATCCTTCGATTTGCTGCTCGGCTAACTTCCGGCAAGAACAATTAACTTCTTGGCCTGTACGATCTAAATTCCGAAAGAAAAACTACTTTGAGGCAATGATTTAGGAATATCATCATGCAGTCCATACTGTTATTAACATTGGAAACAGTAACAAACTGTGTTTGGAATAAACTATTGCCGTAAATGTCATGAAAATGCACATTAACAGAATGATTTAAATTAGATATAATTAATCTTTGCACTTCATCAGTAGCTGTGTAATTCATTGATATTTTCCTGATAAAATAGATTAAAGTTACATGAACACTGTTACCGACCTGCGTGTTCCTGCTATGAAAGCGATGTCCGGAAACTTGCCGAAGATCTGGATAAAGCAATAGCAAAACTTTGAGCAGTTTTACTTTCTTGGTCATGTATTTTTTTGTTCATATAATTGTACAACATATAATACAAAGACAACTATAGATAGGTAAGTTTTTTAAATAAAGGTGATCATAATCTGTAAGTTCTACTGCTGTCTGTTGGGCGTAACCGGCGTGATCACGGCTATAGAAGCTCCCACACATAAAGTTCACGTTCTGGGGATATTTATATTTATTAGTTATATTTCCTATTCGTAATGATTTTAAATCTATTATATTTTCAGGCCCTGACAAATAATGTTTTTATATTGAATATAATCATGAAGTCATAAAACAAGAAAACGAACAATCTCTAACCATGGTAACTATCTTTATTTCATCACAACTCACATAAACAAATCTAAATCTATAAGTTTGTTTTTCTTATTCTGCTTATTACCATTATTTTGAACTACTTGTAAGGACATTCAAATTGACCAAGAATTGGCTGAGAACCTGATCACTAAGTTTAATATTTATAAGGATATCTTACAGTTGTCTTAAGTGGCAATTTAGGTTTTCGTGATTTGCTTTATTTTTTATCTGGATTAATTAGATAGTAAAAACAAATCATCGTCCAAACAAATGAACGCCTAAGACAGATAAGTAACTAAGCAGGTGTGCAACACGTATCCGTTGAAAAACAAGAAAAGAATGAAGTGTATATAATAATCTAACACGTCTTTAATCGTCGCATAGGTGAAAACGCATAATATTGAAAAAGGTATCTTAGCAACAGACATAACCAATGAAAAAAACTATTAAAGCCTTTTCCTGAAGTTCCTATTTGCAGGAACTATTTCTACTACTGTAACACCTTTCATGTACAAAGATCGTATTACATCATACAACAATAAGTAAGTTCGCAATTTTTTTCTATAGATATTTTATCCACTTCTTTTCCCTGTGTAGCATTCAATTATCTAAGGTGATTCCGCTTAGGAGTGTGATGTTCGATTACTTCATAAGATATGCATCTTCGATTTCGACGAGTCACTGCTCTTATTTTTTTCGTCGTTTCATGATTACATATCGAGTGCTAGGTGGATGTATCAATAGAGAACGTAGGATTTGCTTCAGGTAAATTTTCGCGGGTCTTCCCATTCCTGTTTCGTCTGCTACGCCATCTGCTCTTTTTATAAATACGCGCAGCCTGTCCGTTTTCTCGAATTGTCTATTTGCAAAGTACGACGATTTGACTGACTGGCTAAGTAAACGCGACCAGGTAGTCTTGTGTGTTAGACACCCAAAGCAGTCGTAGCATTGTATGCGTGCGTGTTTTTGTATATAATTCGTGCGTGAAGTTCAACAGGTAAGTTCATAATGTTTGCAGGAAAGTAAGAAGATTATGATTATTAAGCAGACTTTACTGGCCCGATTCAATGGTGCCTCTATGAAGTTAGGGTGCCATGTACACGTTGGAATCCCAATGCTCAAAATCTCTATTTGTAGTTGTATCTATTCTAGCCGTGTGGTACACTCTCCTGGGCTGTTGTCATGATGTGTTACGTAAATCGGTATAACATTCATTATCGACTCAGCTGAATGCTTATTTGCTGCTACTTGGTTGCGGAAAGACTTATATTTCTGATAAACAAGTTGTGTGTGTAGCAGGGCGTCAAAAACTATAGCTTTTGATTCCATGAACGCAAAATACAACATTTTCTCTGTTTATATACCAGACATACATACAAGAAGCAGTTGGGTTGGGACTACATCCGCAGTTTTCATTCTAGCGAAGCCTTCTCAGTGGAACGTTGTAACGCATATTTAGAATTATAGCACTGAAAGCTGGGTAACACACAAATTATAATATTGAATATCATAATCTTTCAAGTCGTAGGATAGGATTGGATCATGCTACATAGCTTTACTTTCGCATTTGCCGGTCAACGTGTTTTTCTCGAATCTTTTTATACAGTACTAAGTGAACTAATTCGTAGTGTATCTCTACCAGATTGATTTTAGAGGAAAAAAATTATCGTTCTGTGCTTTGTGGTAGGAGGCCTTACAGGAATTTGTAGTTTAGCACTGACGTATTGTTTTTCATGTAGTTACAGAATGGACCCGCAGGACATTATCAAGTTAGAGGCCCTTGTCGAGCTCGTGAAATCGAAGCCAGAAACACTGTATACGCCAGAGCTCGCGTTTTTTAAGGTATTGAGAAATATTTCTACGTTCGCTTTCGTTATTTCGTTTAGTAACTGTAACTTCAACTGGTACATTAATATCGTTTTGTTGTAAGTATATAACCCACCAATAACATACGTATGTATCCTGTGATTTGTGCTTAAGCTTCGGTGGATCAGTGATACATCACAATTTTAGCAATGGATGTGTAATAAAACGACAGAAGAACAATAGTGGCGTGTCAAGTTTAGATAAAATAGAAAAAACTATACGAGCATAGATAATATATTAGTAATAAAAAATAATATCCGTAAGCGGAACCTTAGACAATTAAGTGCTGCAGAGAAAGAAATAGAAAAAAATATAGAGAATTGTGGGAAACTGACTTCTTTATTTATACATTGTTGGCCTAACGTTGGGTGTTATAGAGTTACTTGGAGTCTCTGGAAGCAAAGCTGCCAGCCCGACCTAACGAAGCACAGTCGACTGCCAGTGCTCCGGAACCTGCGGCGGCGAAAACTGAAGAGTCAATGAAGGGTGAAGATGAATCAGAAGAAAGTGAAGTTGGTAAGCTCTTCGTTTTGAGAAATAAATTGCTGTTTTTCGGTATTAATAATTGCAACTAAAAGCTTGCTCTTTTTTAATAATACCTTTGATTGTAACATACAGAGCTGGATGAGTCCGGAGTTGTTCCAGAGGATGACGATCTCGAGCTCCCGATGGGAGAACCAGATGTAGACTCTTCAGAAGCAGATGAGGAAAAAATCTCTGAGGTATCTACAACAGACCTAACAAAACCTTCAAAATAAAAATATTACCGTTAGAACTACTTGGGTAATTTGAACTCCATAACATTTATGAATAAGTAACAGCTTCACTGTTTAATTGCTTGTTTTTTTAGCTCCGAGGCCAAGCGGCTGAAGCAACCGGCGAGGGCAATTTAGACGCCGCGCTGAGTTTATATACGGAGGCTATAAAACTCAGCCCGAAAAGCGCTGCGCTATTCGCAAAGCGAGCTCAGTGGGTATTCATTAAATACATGTTTTAGTGCTTACATTAATAATTTTGCTTACAAGGACTATTGGTTGCGGTTCCACTACAGCATTCGATGTTTTCAGGATTTTACTTAAAATGAAGAAGCCTAAAAACGCAATCAAAGACGCTTCCAAAGCGATTGACCTCAATCCTGATCAACCTTTGGCATACAGAATCCGAGGGCGGGCTCACGGTTTATTAGGTGAGTTAGTTTTTTTTTTTGTTCAACCGGATTCCGGATTACCTCAGATTGCCTAAGGACCTGTGGAATGTGCATCGCGTGATGTGGGTTTACAAGTCACTTAACTAAATTATCCTGTCTTAGGTCATTGGGAACAGGCTGCGAGCGACCTCAACACGTCGTTGAATATTGACTATTCTGAAGAGGCTAACGAATGGCTGAAGGAGGTGGCTGGCAACGTAAGCTTACTCAACAATCTTTTTTGATTCGATAGTTTTAGTCGAAGTCCAAATTTGGTAAAAGACAATACTTAACCAGATCTTTATCATATCAAAATGCATACATTTATTCGTGTTTTGTTTTCTTCACGCAGGTATGCTGGAAGTTTTCATTTACAAAAATATATCCAAACTGTTAAAGCTACTTAACAATTGTTGATAGGCGAAGAAGCTCCACGACCATAAGCGGAAGCTCGAGCGCAAACGTGTGGATAAGGAAGTCCGAGAACGACAAGAACGAGTTCGGCGAGCTCAGGAAGAACGCAAAAAGGCCGAAGGAACGTTCTCCGGTTCCCCTGGCGGTTTTCCAGGAATGCCTGGTGGTTTTTACGGCGATTTGCAGAAGCAACTAGCGGAGCTCTTCAAGGACCCCGAGGTTATGAAGGCATTCCAAGATCCAGAAGTAGCACAGGCCTTCCAGGATATCACGACTAACCCCGCAAACATGATGAAGTATCAGGGCAATCCGAAAGTGATGGCGCTTGTCACGAAATTGATGGGAAAGATGGGCATCGGTGGCGGAGCCGGCGCTGCCATGGGCGGTGATAACAGAGGTGGAATGGGAAATATGTTTGGTTAAATGTCATGGACATACTTTGTATTAGTGTGTCTGTCTGTGAGTGGGCAGAACAGACTGGGTATGCAACGACCCTTGTCACTGAAAGTTTCACCTATAATAAAATGGAATGCCAATTGTGTATTATCACTCACAGTATCAGAGGCGCAAACAGCAATGCGCGTATATGATAACACAGAAAGAAGACTTTGCTAGAAAAATGCTAGACGACTCTTCTCAAATGAAATAAAATATGTCAGTCTTTTTTGATTCATGAAGTCTTCTTTGGGTGTTTCTTGCTTTTACAGGCCTACGTTAAGAATTTCCCTAAACGAAAGAGTTATGTGATAGGTAAATATATATTGCTCATATACAAACATTTTATAGAACATTATAATACTGTATTTCACTTCTGAACCTACTGAGGGATACGGGAATTTTAATTTGTTACTAGTATTAGTTTTACTTTGTGATGCATGGGAAGCATAATAACTATATATCTTAAGCACATACAGCCCCAGTATGATCGGATGAATGGAGCTCGGTCTGATATATCTATATGTGGCACAAGTGTGTAAATTGGATAAGCTCTTTTTTAGGCCACCATGGCTATGAACCGATGCGCCTGCGCTGTCTTCGAAGACATTGGTGAAACTGTGGGAATGATAATGATATATAGTGCTCTTTGGCGTGTACCTATAAGCACAATGGTAGGTTAATTGAAGACACTACTACAATGAAAGGACAGTTGACATCGTTTATTGGTAAATGGTCCCTTGTCAGATTTTTATCGGTTACGTAGGGTTGAATGAACTTTGGGTTGGGACAGTAAGAAGCCCACATTGTTACAGCTTAATTGATCATGGCATAATGCTATTGGCGTTTGAAAACTAGGTGTTTAATTAGCGGCGGTGTATCTTCATTACATGCGCCTAGGCTTGGTTCACATCGAATTCGCTACAGTGAGTTATACTTATATCGTGCTTATGTAGGCCTGCGTAACCAGGACGCTTCATAGGTCTGTTCGAAAACCCCGCACTAGTCCAACGACTTCCATTCCGGCTATAATCTCTAATTAAGGGCAAGTTTATCGAAAACTTTTTATTAGAAACTTTATTAAAAAAAAAAACCGAAAATACGATTCAGAGGTATTAAAACTGATGCAACAGTATTCGGAGATGTCTAGTCTGCGTCACGTGCAAATTTGTGTGTCATGTGACTTAAATATGTTACAAATTACCTTAAATCGCCAAAGCAAATCCGTTGTTTATATGCCGATACTGTATTACTATGGGAGAAGTGCTGTGGTATTATCATTTTTTATTTTATTCCGGATTTTCTTCTCTCCAAGGATCAAAATGAATGATGATGAAATGGTCGACTATGAAGTAACTATTTGGTAATCACAAATACACGTCCTTTTTTGACTATTGAAAATATGTTTTTCAACAACTAGAAATAAGGTTTTTTTCTTTCCGAATATTTCTTTTAGACCATCTTTTTAGCCGGTAAACTTCAAGACATTTTAAAGACAAATTGACCTCTTATCTCTGGCAACACACGACCTTCATTAAATGCTAGGTTATTAATCATATAATATTTCGGTATGCGTAAATTCTTCATACGCCTTTCACGCTATCGTTTCACGATAAGTACTTGCTTTGGTTACCAAAAGTATAACAATTAGCAAAGTTTGGTAATAACGAAGTAACAGTGAAGACCGCACAGTCATATGCACCCATATGTGGCACAAAATCACCCTTGAGGACATTCACATTAGTTGAAAATTGGTCATAACAATGAAACTGGCTTTCGAATTTTGGTGAGATCTGTTTTAATCGCCACATAAGCTAAGTTATGCTATGCATGTTTACGCACCACTTAAACGTATCTTACAGCGCTCAGACTACAGAGAAGGGGTAGGTGCTTGTGCCAGAATATTCTTGAAAATATAATGGAGATCTGCTGTGTGCAAGCACAAATGTTGGCTCCTCTAGGGCTTCACTATTTCTCGTGTATTAAATTCAGGCATGGTTCAGCCGACCCTAGAAAACGACGTGTGGTACAATCTAACTGGAAATGCTCCTAACACAACCTGACGCCGGCTTATTGCTTGTAAGTTCGAAATACATAGCAACTGTATATATAACGAGGTATATATCCGTTGCTCTTGTAATTACTGTTTTACAGAGATGTAAGTGTACATGTAACAGCATTCTGTTGCGCTATATACATTAGACGTACACACCAAGTCCAGTTGAGACCTAAACAATACTATGAACTGCTTTTAAAAAAAATATAAATTAACTTTACTAGAAAGAACACAGTATGGATTGTTCAAGTTCAATAATGTGTTTAAACCAATTGAAAATCAGAAAATAGCATAGTGCTACATTGCCTTCAATATGTCAAATAAACGTGTTATATTCGTTTTTGTTTTGAACCCTATGTTTGGAAAGGTATCCCTGTTCTGCAGTGAGAGATTTAAGCTCGTTTTTGTCTACAGTAGTGGGGGTTGCCTTTTATCTATGCGTGTGAGTGACTTTTTATTTTCGATACTGTAACGAAAAACCTAATAATAATTATTATAGTAATAGTATAAAAAGTATTTCTGATTTCTAACGACGAGTAAAGCTCACAACTTTGAAGAGCAAAATCTTCCAATATCTATGTAAGATGTAGCAATTGCACACATTTAGTTCACCAGTTGCTTACAGCTTAATATTTTAACATGGTTTTTCAATATCCATCAGTCGCCATCAGTACATAATTAAAGACATCATTGAGATAAATAACAGTATAAAGCAATAGAAGTCATATATATGTATATTGCCGAAGCCTCAAGTGAACAGGATGTCGAAAAGCTGGATTGACTATTAATTCTGATTTTAAAATAGAAAAATAAGAAAGGTATGGTTCGTTTATTGAGAATTCGTCGGCTTTGCGGACCGTTGTTTGTATAGTAACCCGCGCATTTCCCAATGGACTTGTGATGCCCAGCAATGTAGGCTACAGTGAAAATCTGTGAGTCTGGACCACTCAGTTTTGTGCGTGTCTCTTGTACATCATAGCGGTTAAGATCGAAAAATTCACTGTTTAGCCTTGTAGTTGTGGTGTTTAATACTTCAAAAGATGCCAAGAGACGTAAGAGTGGTATTGAAACTCAGTACCTGCTTCTATGAAGCGTCAAAAATTGATACTTAGTACTTCAACATTAAACAGCGGTTTTACTTTGGAGTATAGTAGTCCTATTTTGAGTGGCAGTTCGACTTTGGACAGCGGTCCTGTTTCGAACAAGTTTTTTTCGACTCATAAGTGCTACCCTCTAGCTGGATAAGTACTTGGGACTCTGTAATATTGTTACCTATTATCAGCGTTTCCAGCAACTTCCAATACGAGTTGCACAATCTCACAACTTTCTCGTTAGAAAGAGAAGCAGATCCTAAATTAATTCAGTTACTATTTAACTCAACGTGCTTGATATTTGTAAGAATCACTTTACACGAATAGAAATGGTCGACAGCGTCTCTATTGCTAAACATACCAACAACAAAATTGCACCTGGCTTTCTGTGATTCAGCTGGAATCGAACAATCTTTTATATACTAACTCGGGGCCTATGTAGGTGGGGAATATACTGAAATTTAGCTAAACCATATTATTAAAACTCGCTGAGAAAAAAAATAGCCATTTAACAATTTCAGATTTCTACTAGATAATATATATAGGCCCGCCAACGTCATATATATATAAACAAAAGAGTTATATCTATACATCTTTTCACCTTGTACACACACGGTAATTAATGCTTCTCGCCTGTCTTTATCATGTATTGGTCAGATTTGATCACCACTTAATCTTTGCAGATCAGGCCGTGTTTTCTTTACATATTCCTGTTACATTATTTTGTTTCGGCTTATATGTTTACCGATGTAAAAAAAATCGACTGTCGTATAACAACACGCACGCGTTGAATCAAAACATAAAGTTATAGTTTGAAGCTAAGAGAAGTGGACTTTGTCCCTTTGCTCTCACCTCCTTCAACGCTTGTCGTCTTTTTCGTCTTATCAGTTGGTCTATTTGACCTCTTCAAATCACTTCTTCACTACCCCCTTTTTCATCACGCGTTTCGTTAACTGCCATAGAAGATCGTTCAATACACTGACAATAAACATCTTATTAGGCACTACACGTTATACGGGCTTTAGTTAGTCGGAACAGCTTGAACGTCGAGCATCCAAAGCAGATGGTCAGAGCATTAGTGGTCAATATGTAGTCTTCAGATACTCAGATAACAATGTCGACGCTCAAGTCTGATTAGATAAACAAAGCTAAACTGAAACGAGAACTGATTCCTGAAAGAATGCACTATAACGTAATCTTTGCCTCTTTGTTATAATGCAAAAAAACAATATATTTGGCGAAAAGGGGGATTAGTGAAGGAAAAGTATCGAAGTGAATCGGGTAAGTAAATTAAACATAGATAACGAAAACATTCTATTAGGTTAACATTCTCGCATGACAACAGAAGAGAACTGATAGGAAGATTTTGATGAAATATCTAAATAGCCAGCAATTTATGTGTCAATATTCCACTGCTGCACTCAGACGAAGATGAGCCTGAAATAATAAACGTGTGATACGCAAACAAGTCGCCATCTGCCATTGCCATAAGCGTTAATAACAAAGGAGATCGATGACACCTAACAGGGCTCGTCGGAAGTATTCGATATGATAAAGTTGGCAGTAGTAAGGGCGAAGGTTGTCATTTTCAGTTTCGAAATAGGGTGTTGACTTTGACTCACTTCTTGTATCTCCTTCAGGAACCAGCTAATCTTGCTTCTATTCTAGTTCAAGTTAGTGTTTAGCTTAAATAAGTGTATCAAATAGAATACAAAGAGTTAAAAAGTTCGGCTTCATGGAGCTTCTATAGCAAAACGGCTTGTCTGCAATTCTGTGAAAAACAGATTACATTCATCTAAAGCCATTATTCGAGGTGAAGTATAATAACATAAATCAACAGTGCACAGTACGGTTGATTTAATCTGTTGAAGACTCTAGAGAAACCAACCAATTGATTACACCCATATTTCGGTAAACCTACCTAGTACAGCCGTTTCCACATAATTGTCAAATTAAAACTCATAACAAATGATTGATATCGCCACATACAGTGTAAATTTCTGTTCAGCCGAATACATACATCATTTGAATACTCGCCGTATGTACTAATGTACCAGAAGGAGCCTATTATTCTCTTTTTCAAAAGATCTTGATT